CCTCCACTTCGGGACGAGAAGGCCGTTGCCGTGGCACACCTGATCGTGTTGGGGATGGTCAAGGCCAAGCCCTCGGTGGAAGAGGAGCTCCCCTTAGTATTTGCGGGGCTTAGCCCTACTCCCCTCGATAGGAGACGTTCCTTAGCCTTTTAACACATTCCCCTCATCCTCGTTTTGTGTACTAATTCATGTCCTTTTCCTTTGTAGAGGTACCAATGGATTCGAAGAAGCTCTTGCTCGAAAGCGTCCGCACCAAGTAGAAGGCCTAGGTTGAGAAGAAAGAGGGAGGGCAGACGCCGAGGAGGCTTGCCGAGAATGAGCCTGTGAAGGGAGAGCAGGCACTAGTCCCGCCAAGGGGGCAACTCAACAAGTCCTTGCCAGAGGAAAAGGGCCAGGCCGAGGTGCCGAAGAGGCTTGTCGAGGGGGCCGAGGCAAGCAAGAAGAGGCCTGCCAAAGGAGTTTTAAGAGAGCAGCCGCCGAAGAAGGTGGCCCATGTTGAGTGTCTGGTCGGGGACGCCGCGAAGAAGCCTCCCCCTAAGGGGCATCCCACGGGGCCCTCATCCGCCCCCTCGTCTGCACTGGAGCTCGCCGAAGGAGCTGATGGGTCTGCCAAGATCTTCCACCCTCGGTGGTTGGTTCGTGAGGGGGATTCAATAACCGAGGAAAGGGTCAGCCAGGCCCTGGTGAGCGGGGCAATCCTCTCAAGGGATCGTTTCTGCATGATGTAGAGCGAGCCGGGGGCCATCTACGACAAGGGGTTGTACCACTTGGCTGAGGTAACTTTCGTTCTCATATTTTGTTTCGCAGTTATTTCTTTATTGTAGTCTTTACTGATAGTTTATGTTGCAGGCCTCTCTTCACTTCGTCGGTTTGGAAGACTGAATGAGTCTGACCTTGTCATGCCTGGAGAAGCTCGAGAAGGAGAAGGAAAGTCTCCAGGCCATTGTAGCCACTACTAAGGACAAGCGGGAGACCTTCAAGAAGGCTCTCAAGGATGAGCAGATGCTCCGAACGAAGATGGAGGCCAACCTGAAAGAAACGCGGGCCCTCCTCATCAAAGAGCAAGAGGAGAGGGTTCACTTCGAGAGCATCATCACAGAGGTGGAGCGGCGGGAGACCCAGGCTAAGGGGTGGGCTACCGAGGTGGAGAAGAGGGTTGTAGAGGCAGGAAAGTAGGCGGCTAAGGCAGCGGCTGAGGCAGTAGAGGTTTTTAAGAAGTCCACCGAGTACCAGCGGGCCCTTGCAGAGTGTGCGTCCACATCCTACTTGGATGGAATTGAGGACACCAAGAAGGCCCTCCTGCAAGCGATGCCTGACTTCGACGCCGAGGGGCAGCAGGTGATTTCCGACTCCCCTGACGAGACTCAAGCAACTAATGGCTCTGCCCTTCCTCCGGCTGGTAGCAAGGCTTGACGTGGTTCCTCCAGTCTTGTTTTTTCTCTCTTTTTTGTGGTGTAAATATGCTCGGCCTCCGAGGCCGTAGAAATTTTTTTTTTGTAAACGCTTATACTGGAATGAAATGAAATACACAAGCATTTTTTTGTACGATGTGTTCTCTCCGTTTGTCAATTATTATTTGTTATTTTGTTGTTCTTCTTACTGAGAGGTCTCTGCCCCTCCCAACGAAGAGATCACGGTTCAAAAAATGCCTCATAATGGTTCACTTTAGGCACACGCTCACTTTAGATTGTCAATGGGCCAAGGCTGAGGCAATGGTATGCAACCAAGGTGCAACTTGCTTGGCTCGTTTTTTACCCAAGTGTGTACTTAGATTGGGCCGAGGCGGTCTGCCAAAGTATGGGAGAGAAGCCGAGGCCGAGGTTGTGTAACCCACCTGGCTAGTCTCTTTCCCAACTGATTACTTTGGCGAGGCCGAGGTGGCACTCCAAGGAGATCGAGGTCTTTGGCCGAGGCGAACCGCCAAGTTTGTCGGAGTTGCCGTTTACTTAATCGCGCTAAGTGTATACAACCAAGAGGCCATCCACTGCCGAGGCGGGTGGCGAGGCATGCGATGCCTCAGTCGTCCTGATGTGTTTTAGTTTGGGGAGGCGCTCCGAGGTGGTTGCCAATTTAGAAAGGGCGTCGACTCTTACATTCTCGACTCACGGGACTTCCTACAGGGAGAAGCGCTGGAAGTGGCGGGCTAGTTCTTTGACTTTGGCGAGGTACTTGGACATGCTTTGCTCTCTGGCCTCGTACTCGCCATTGACTTGATTCACCACCAGTTGCGAATCGTTGACGGCTTCGACATGTAAGGAGCTGAGGTCCCTGGTAAGCTGCAAACCAGCAAGGAGGGCCCTATACTCGGCTTCGTTATTAGATGCAGGGAAGTCTAACCTTAGCGCATACTCTATGACTGCGTTGTTTGAGGTGAGAAGGATGAGGCCTGCTTCGCTTCCTTTGGCGTTGGATGAACCGTCCACAAAGAGTGTCCACTTGGGGTGAGTCCCCTCGGTCGGGCGATCCCCTTTAGCATCTTCAGGGGCTCGGCTGAAAGTGCATTCTTCTATGAAGTCTGCTAGGGCTTGTGCTTTGATAGCAGGGCTCAGCTAGTACTGTATGTCAAATTCAGACAACTCGATGGTCCATTTGGTTAGGCGCCCCGAGGTCTCGGGTTTGGTGAGGACAGCCATAAGGGGCTGGTTTGTCAGGACCATTATAGTGTGAGTTTGAAAATACAGCTTGAGCTTTCTAGCCAAGACCACAAGGGCGAAGGCCAATTTCTCCACTTCGGGATATTAGGTTTCGGCATCGCAGAGGACCTTGTTGATGTAGTATATCGACTTCTGCGTTTCGTCTTCTTTTATCAGCACTGAGCTGACTGCCTCGTACCCAGCCGATAGGTATAGATAAAGGGTTTCTCCTAGGGCTAGCTGAGCGAGGAGGGGAGGTGAGGCGAGGTAGACCTTTAGCTCGTCAAAGGCATTTTGGCATTCTTCCATCCACTGAAATTCCTTCAACTTTTTAATGGCGTGGAAGAAAGGAAGGCAGTGGTTGAGAGCAGCTATTCGGCCGGTGAGTCTCTGAGTCCCCTTCACCAACCGAGGAGGTGCCATGTCCAGTATGGCTTGTATCTTGTCAGGGTTGGCCTCGATGCCTCTTTGAGTAACGACGAAGCCTAAGAATTTGCTTGAAGTGACGCTGTAGGCACACTTGCTGGGATTGAATTTCATGTTGAACTTCTGCAAGGTGTCGAAGGTCTCGGCCAAGTTCGAGGTGTGCATCTCGGCTTTCAGGCTCTTTACCACCATATCATCCACGTAGGCTTCAACGTTCCTCCCCTTTTGATTTTTAAACACCTTGTTGACGAGGCATTGGTAGGTGGCCCCTACATTCTTGAGGCCAAAGGGCATCACCTTGTAGCAATAAGTTCTGTGCTCAATGATGAACGGGGTCTTCTCCTCGTCCTCTAGGTGCATCTTTATTTGGCTGTATTAGGAAAAGGCATCCATGAAGTTGAGTAGCTGGTACTCTGCAGTGGTGTCGACGAGGTTATCTATCCTTGGCAAAGGAAAACTATCCTTAGGGTAGGCTCGATTAAGGTCTGTGAAGTCAATACAGATCCACCATTTTCCATTAGCTTTCTTTACCAAAACCACATTTGACAACCAGTTAGGGTAGTATACCTCTTGGATGAAGCCAATGTCGAGTAGCTTACCAACTTCCTCTCCTATGGCCTTCCAACGCTTCGGTGCAAAGCTCCTCTTCTTTTGCCGAACTGGCCTAGAGCTTGGGTCCACGCTTAGCCTGTGAGTGATGACCGAAGGGTCAATTCTGGGCATGTCAGTGGCAGAACAAGCAAAGATGTCAGCATTAGTTTTGAGGAAACTTACCAGTTTGGATAGGCTCTGTAGGGGAAGGTTGGACTCGACGTGGACTATCTTCTCGGGCTCAGCCTCGTCTATGGGAACTGAGACGAGGTCCTCGGCTGGTTGGCCTCGGCTCGCTGGTTCCTCCCTAAGGTCGAAGCCCTCTAGTGGAAATGCTTCCTTGTTTTTGCCCTTTAGTGCTGCCA